TGTACTGGAAGTCGTTGCACTAGTTCATAAAAAGTAAAACTGTTGGTGATTGGAGCATCTTTTGAGTACATATTGGAGCCAATTACTAAAAAGGAAACCCAAAAAGTACAAAAATGAAGAATATATTTTGAGTACATACATACATGTTGTTCTGTTTTCTAATCGAATATACAAAATAATACGGCCTTCATAAGGAATTCTCTGGCCGACGTACGGTAGATATAAAAATTATGGTATTTGTTTGGCCTGGTAGGAAAGATTGTGTACATTTGTTTCTTATTTTCTTTCTTCCGTGACGCCATGGAGTTTTCAGAGAACAAACTGTCTTATATTTCCAGTGAAACTGATTTCTTGAAGAAATTGTTGCATATTGTTTCTGTCTATGTAATTGATCATTACTGCCCTTTTAGGTAACATGTATTTCTTATGTCCTGCAGATTGCCTCCATCAAGCTTATTCGCAATAAGCAGACTCTTTTATCCGAGGGCTACGGCTTTGTGGAATTCTTTTCACATGCAACAGCTGAGAATGTTCTACAGAACTACGCTGGCATTCTAATGCCCAACACAGAACAGCCCTTCCGTCTGAACTGGGCTGCATTTAGCACGGGTGATAAGCGTTCAGATAATGCTCCTGATCTTTCCATTTTTGTAGGAGACTTAGCTGCAGATGTTACAGATAGTTTATTGCACGAAACTTTCTCTAGTAAATATCCATCTGTTAAAGCTGCAAAAGTCGTCTTTGATGCCAATACTGGCCGTTCAAAGGGTTACGGTTTTGTGAGGTTTGGGGACGAGAATGAAAGGTCACAGGCTATGACTGAAATGAATGGTATCTTTTGTTCCAGCAGGCCTATGCGCATTGGTGCTGCAACTCCTCGGAAATCATCTGGGTATCAACAACACTACTCTTCACAAGGTATTTAGTTCTACTTTTAGATAAGGAGGGGTTTAGTTCTTCTCTTTGGTAAGTAAGGTATTTGCGTCTACTTCTTCTCTCTCTGAAGTTGTGTTTTGGTCCTCCAAATCTTCTGTGCATTAGTAAGGATTTATATGAATGTCATGTTGTAGTTTTACCTCCATCATGGCATATTTGAATTTATTGCTAGAAATATTCACTGCTTCTTTAAGGTGTTTAAAGTTCATTTTAGCAAGTAGCTAAACTGATGAAATCTTTCTGGAATAGTTGTAATCATCAATCGTCTTCCATTTATTGGACTACTTTTGAAAAGCTATTTGTAATTTTCTTGTCCTTTGTGATCTATACTCCAGCAAATTAGATACCGTTTCCGAACGATGGTTTCAGATTATGAAAGAGGCTAATCTCTGCATGACCATGGCTTTAATGTTAGTTCTCTTTTATATGCTTATATTTTGTGCTTTCTGCAGGGGGTTATGTTTCAAATGGTACACCAACCCAGGGATTCCAATCTGATGGAGATTCTACAAACACGACAGTGAGTCTTCTAGCTTTCATGGTTTTTTAACCAATTGAGACTGCGCTTCTCTCTAGTCTCTACAACCTTTGCTGATGAATGTGTCATTTGTAGATATTTGTCGGGGGGCTTGATCCTAATGTTACTGATGAAGATCTCAGGCAGCCCTTCTCTCAGTATGGCGAGATAGTTTCTGTTAAAATACCAGTTGGAAAAGGATGTGGATTTGTACAATTTGCTAACAGGTAAACTGTTTGTCATGATGTTGGTCTGCAACACTGGTGGTGGTATAGTTTTTACTTGACAACGATTTGGGACGTGATCCTTTTGACCTCTTGTGACAGAAATAATGCTGAGGAGGCATTGCCGAAACTCAATGGCACAGTAATTGGCAAGCAAACAGTCCGACTTTCATGGGGACGCAATCCAGCAAATAAGCAGGTATTATTTCTCTCTTTTCAAAACGCCCTCCCCAAGTCCACAACAAAATTGTGTGACGAAATACAATTGTAATGCCTCTATCATGCCATTTGTTTTTTTTTTCTCACGAATCTTTTGTTTTCCTTGGTTTTGATTTTCAGCAGTTCAGATCGGATTTTGGTAACCAATGGGGAGGTGCCGCCTACTACGGAGGACCTGTTTATGAAGGTTACGGCTATGCTCTACCACCACATCATGACCCTAGCATGTATGCTGCAGCTTCGGCTGCATATGGAGCTTATCCGGTGTATGGCACCCACCAACAACAAGTAAGCTGAGACAGCAGCTCCTGTGCACGGTAGCAACCTACCAACAGCGAGGGAACCGAGTAAGCTGCATAAGTAGTTTAGAAATCAGACTCAATGGATCTGTAATTTGCTTGGTTCTCTAGAATTCTTATAAATCCCTCTAATTCTGGAGTGGAACTGAATTTTGATAACTTGAGGTAGTTATGCAAGGATTTCATTGATCATTTCTTTAGATTTACGTAATTTTTAGGGAAATATTATTCGATCAGTGCAGGGCCTCCGTGAATTGAAAATGTGCGAGACAATCTTTAGCATGCTAGTGCAAAGTTGCACTTGTGTTATGTTCTACACCGGGCAGCAGTCGCGATTTTAGGGTGAAGGCCTGAACAAGTACTGCAGAAGGCCTTGCCACAAATGGAAGGCAAATTTGAGAAAGCATTTTTTAGCATGCTTGTCTAAGGTTGCATGTTTTGTTGCCACGCTACAAGTTCTTTTCTTGGATTTACTTGCATTTTGTCTAACAATTCGTTCCAAAAGTATTTTTACCAAAAAGTGTTTTTAGTAATTTTAAACACACTTATAAATGAGCATTTACTCCTCAATTAAACTTGTTGCAGTATTCCACTACCCCACCATGATGGGATGGTTGAAAATAAAGGGTTTATGGTAAATGTAGAATTCTCTACAGTCCCACAATTCTCAATATACTACTTCAATTCTTTATTCTTCTCAATAAGGAGGTATTTATAAGATTACAAGGGAGCAATACTAGGAAATAAATCAAAATAATCCTTTGTCAACAATACAAGGAAACCTAGACCAAATCATATCAAACCTAATTAAATCATATAAAATCACTAATTAAATCATATCCCTAAAATATTTTCCTTTTGCCACTTAGTACTATGGTTTAGTGGTATTCCTCTTCACTGGTAAGTGAGAGGTCTTAGGTTCGATTCTCACCAAAAGCGAATTTGAACCACATTATTGCTAACCCATTGTGAGGAAGACTTCAATTAAGTCACCTCCAAAGGGAGGAAAACAACACAATCTCTCTAAATTTTACTGCAATCATCTCAATCACTTACTAACTTGAGCCTCACACTATCTTTTCCACAAACACTCCCCTCGTTCTCTCCTTGGTGGCAAGCGAAGATTGGAGGACCCAATTTTTTTCGCTCCAACGTGAGTTTTATGAGTTGGATTATCTATCACTGAACTACATGCAGTAAACATGACAAACCAATACATATTTTATAAAGGGAAATTGGCACTCCAAAAATCTCATTCTACACTCCTCATAAGTGTATCTTTCTTTCTAAATATAGAAAGTTTGAAGTATAGAATGAGAAATTTAGAACGCCAATAACAATTCCCTTTATAAATAACCAAAAGTGTTTCTATAGAGTTTAACATAAAAATTTTAGAATGCGCTTTGTTTTTGTTAAACGTTTCAGTATGCATATTACCTTCTGGAGAAACATTTTCAATTAGAATAATATGTGTGGCATGTGTTAGTGTTAATAATAATTGTCAACAACCATCATCATCATCATCATCATTGTGCAGGACCTAGTTTTATATTTTACTGCTCACATTGGCGTACGATCAAGCCATAAACAGACTCAATTCTAAGTACCATGAGGCTTAGTGAAAAAGCAAACAATAACAAATTGAGGTGGCAGGTGTTGGAATCTTGGGGCGCACAACACCCTTCAGTTGGGTTGGGCATTCGGGAGACATGGGGAACCAAAATTTAGCACAAATTGAAAAATGAATTATGCAGATCTCTACTTAATCCTTGCAGTAAAATGTGACTAAACAACATTTTTGATCACCTCAAAGAGCTGTTGAACTTGGGTTTGTCAATATAATTGTGATGATACTCACAATTTGTTATAATGGTTTTTCGCGTGAGGATTTCGAGTGTTGTCTTGCATCTAAAATTGGGAAATTTTGCTTAATTAATTTTAGGGTTTGAAGTTTAATTTTTTTATAAAATCAGAGCATGTTCGTCCATGTGTGAAACTTAACTATTAAACGTCAGAAGATGTGTGAGAATGTAAATTACTTTCTCTACTATCACAAAGTTTAAACACCTTACCACATGAAACTTTTCCTTTGCGTTTGTATGCCCTAAAAGTAGAGGTTAAAAAGAAATCATATCCTTCGGGCAGCTCATAGCTCCAAAGACAAGCACACAGCAGGAAGCTGATTGGTCGATGCCCAGAGGAATTCCACAGCCATGTGACACATCCCACCAAGAACTGCGATCCTCCCTAGCGGCAAGAAAAATTTCTTTGCAGTCAGAACATAGATAATATATCATATGTTATTATATAAATAATGAAAAAATTTATTTTTTTAAATTGTTAATTTTTTAACACAAGTATTTTACCATTTATATAATAACATGTGTATATTATCCTGTGTTATAGACACATTGCGAATTCTCTCCGACAGCCCCTTGGTTAATAAGAGGCATTTTTTAAGTGTGATAACGGAACACAAAATGTCATAATACAATTCAATTAATATTTAATATGTTTTCTCAGACAATATTATCTAAACTTCAGAATGACTAACTCATGGAATGTATTATTCCAATTGTTGTACCGGATTGTGTACCTGAAAAATCTCTCGGACTTATCAGAAGATTAAGAATAATTAAACAAAATTAATTATGCAAGATCTTCTGTTTAATTAATTACGTAAGATCTTCTATTACTTAATATGGTAATGGGCTGTCGAGGTGCAATCCTCTCTCTCCAACACGTTTCCAATGGCACACCTTTCTCTTTCCTCTCTCTCTCCTCCTATTTCCTACCCATCTTCTTGTCATCCACTTCACCGGCGAATCTTCGTCGTTGCTTCCAGGATCCACGCAGCCTCCGCAACTTCCACCTCCATTTCACACGCGCAGCCGAAGGTCGTCGTCACGAGAGAGCGCGGCAAGAACGGCAAGCTCATCGCCTCCCTGGTACGCAATTCTCTCCTCCTCTCTCTCTCTACCTCTGTATCTGACATTTTTTCCTGTGATTTTGCTGAAAGACTGGAAATTTAGCTGTTTGTGCTGCGTTGGATTTCTGGGTTCTACATTTCGTAATTGTACTCTGTTGCTGCCCTCTTTCTTGCATTTTCGGATTTGATCTCCTGAAATGTGAATTACTCTGCATTTACTGTTTGAGTGGTTGCTGCCAAAATTGTGAAAGAATTTGGAATTGTTTTCGGGCTGCGGTTTAGCTTTGGATTACCAGCTAGGTGTTCGATGAAATGCGAACGTGATTGGCTGTTTGTGGCATTTTGTTCTTCAGCATTTGTAAATCATCAATTTTTATTTTTTTTCCATTTCCACCGTTTTTCGAAGTTTAATTCTTTGATATTCTCCAACACATTCACATTTGAAAATTTTGAGTGCAGGCCAAGCAGGGAATCAGCTGTTTGGAGCTTCCACTCATTGAGCATACACGGGGGCCAGATCTGGATAGGCTTTCTACAGTATTAAGTGGTAAATTCTTCAACTTTCTTCTCCAATTTGTCGATGTCGTTGAGTAATTTCACAGATAATGCAACTAAGTTGACTGCCTCACATTCTAGTTAGCCCCATTTTGTCCTTTGGGCCTCAAACTTCAGCTCCATGTTTCTAAACAAATGTACAACTATTTTCTAACCAACTTTCTTCATTTAATGGTCCTTTTTGGCTGCAGATACTACATTTGATTGGATTGTCATAACGTCCCCTGAAGCGAGTTCAGTCTTCTTAGAGGCCTGGAAGTAAGGGAGAAAACTCGATAAATAAAACCCTGGCACATTTTGCATTTAAAACTTGTTCATACAAATTGGTAATTTAATTTTGTCTAAATTTTAGACTGTGTCTTGTTATTTACTTTCAGGGCTGCTGGAACTCCAAATGTTACGGTAGGGGTCGTGGGGGCTGGTACAGCAAGCATATTTGAGGAAGTAGTACAGTCATCGAAGCGATCCCTCAACATTGCTTTTGTGCCATCCAAAGGTGCGTATGAATTAGTGTAGGCAACGATGTAGTTTCGTACAAAGTATATTATTGCCTGTTATGCTTCCTACAATTAATGTGAAGCTCCCAGAAAGATGAACTTCATCTTAAAAACATTACGAAAGCACTGGAGAATACTATTAAATTAAAAACTCACCAAACATAGATGAATTGAGGAATGAATGTCTGAACAAAAGTTTTTAACTGTGAAGCAAAAGTTTTCTAGATTCCTGAGCTTGATTTTATTATCCTTTTTTTTTGTTTAATTTATGACTCAATATTGTGGGTATGCTCTCCATTCCACTATTGATTTTGATTATTGGTCTCTTTTGTTTAATAATCGCCGCACAGCAACTGGCAAGGTCTTGGCTTCAGAGCTTCCTAAGAATGGGAATGAAAAATGCACCGTTTTATATCCTGCTTCTGCAAAGGCCAGCAATGAGATTGGTATGTGGAATGCTTCAATTTTGATGCCTGCTTCTTTTGGATAGAGTTTTTATTGCTTTCGCCATTTTAGGATTGTGCATGTTCATGATTGCGATCTTTTATGATTGGGCATGTTCATGATTGTGATCTTTTATGAGTCATTTTTTCCTTTTCCATAAATGGATAGTTATATTCGTTCCTTTACGTTTTTGGTTGTGCAACAATACATATACAATTTTGGCATTCGTAGCGTATATCACGTGATGAAGCCAAGACTTTGGTCAATGTTCTGCTGATAGCGGCTTATAAGATTATGTGCACTGTCACTTGTCTTTGATTCACCCTTTTCATCTTGTTATATTTGTTTCAGAGGAAGGCCTGTCCAATCGTGGGTTTGAGGTCACAAGGCTAAATACATACACAACGGTATGCTTACTCAACTTTGGCATGCAAGTGTGGTCTCCTTATATTGGTTCCATGGAAATTTTCTATGAATTTTTTTTTAAGTGATCTATAATTTTTACTTTTTATTTAATGGTTCCATGAAAAATTTCTTATAGATTAATGACAAGATATTTACACTTCTCTTTTCTATACTTATTGTCATCAATTGATCATCCTTTCTATGTGTTTCTGTTGGATACGATAAAACATAATTTCTCTTTCCATGTCTTTGGTTTTGCAAATTATAGTTGTCCACCATAAAATTTAGTACATCATTCAGGATCAAGAGGCATCCCTGCTCCTCTTCCCAATCATTGCCTTGCTCTAGTCTAATGTGGACATTTGGAGTTTGATATGTTTGTTTGAACCTTTTTGTTATAGTTGCAGGTTGGCAGTTGAATGTGATATTAGCACTAATTGAATAGGATTACTGGTTATAGCTAATGACTTATTTCAGTCCTAACTTAACAATGTTTCTTGGGATCTTGGGATACTTACTTTTAGGAACCTGTTCATCATGTCGACCAAACAGTTTTAAAGCAGGCACTCTCCGCCCCTGTCATAGCAGTTGCTTCTCCATCAGCTATTCGGTAAGTAACCAGTTGAGCTACTTAGAGTTATTTCACTAGAGACTATAGTACCAATCATTAATTTTGTTTTTCACTATCTGCTTTCTCCAACAGTGCCTGGGTCGGTCTTATTCCAGAGTCAGAGCAATGGAGCAATTCAGTTGCCTGTATTGGTGAGACAACTGCTAAGGCTGCTAAGAAATTAGGCCTCACAAATGTTTACTACCCAGCAAACCCAGGTCTTGAAGGGTAATATTGACTTTTCGTTACTGTATATTATATCTGGTATGACGAGATGGTGAATTCAAATATGCTCTATAGTTTTCATTGTTTGGATTTTCCCCTGATGATTGTTGTAGTAGGCTACTATGAGATGCCTTCTTATATCCTTTTTTTTTTCTTCTTCTTTTCTTTCTTAACCTTTTTGTTTTGGACAACAGGTGGGTGGGTAGCATACTTGAAGCGTTGCAAGCAAATGTGCGTCTGTAAATTTGTAGGCAGTCTATTTTTTTAAGGTAGAATTTTACTCCTGCGCTACGGTTTAGTAACTTGCATCCTCTCTTTTCCTGTGGTTGTATAGATTAAATAAGCCGCGTGTCTTCAATTCTCTCCCAGGCCCAGGCAGGCTGACCAGGAGATCGCCGGAGCAGAAATTGAGGCAGCAAGAACTCACAAATGGAAAGTTGAATTTCCTAGTTTCTGCATAAAGTAGCCGTAAAACGAGGATGTAATATTTGCAAAGAGCAGGAATGAAAGATGTCAAGATATTCAACACCCCGAGGCGATCATATTCATTAGGCACAGCTTCTTTCTGGCCCGTGAAATAGGCGATTGGATCATATGTGGAAAGAAAGCTTACTCTTGTATATGTAAACTTCGTTTGCTCAATTACGCTGTGCAAGATCAGTTTTGCTGCTTGTTTGACTGCAGTTCATGTGTAGTAGCGAGGACACGATTGTAATTCTTTGTACATTTTATTCTTATAATCAAAGCTCATGTTGATTGTTCGTGTTTTTCGCTAATGAATTCTGCTGTTTTATGGACATCGAGTAGATGAACTTGTAAGTGCTGAAATTTGTGTCGCGCCTAAGAAAGTTTTTGTGCTGAAATTTACTCCTTGAGGTGGTCCTGCCAAGGCTGTAATTTTATTAGCTTTCTTCAGTCCATGCTGAGTTCCAGTTTAAACTGGAGAACAAGAAGACTCATCTAGGCGAACCGACGATTTGGAACGAGGAGGATTCGCATATCTTCGAGAATTAATTGAGTTTTTGAGGTTGTTAATTTGGTGATTAGCATTGCATGATATGATCAAAAAGGCTTAATTTGGTGATTAGCATTGCATGATTTGATCAAAAAGGCGAATTGGTGGCTGGAGGGGAGCAGCAAATTACATGCAAGTAGTGTAAGCTTCATCTTGACCAATGATCAGTTCAAGAATACCAAATTACCAATTGGTATTCACAATTTTTAATATTTATATTGTGGGTTGAGTTGAAACTTGACGAGTACATTTACTGATTGAAAGAATATGAGAATTTTGACGAGTAGATTTATTGCTAGATTATGAAGTATTAATGTATAAAATCTGTAGAATTTGTGAATAATTGACGAGTGCATTTATGCATGCAACGAACGTACATTTGGAGTGTTTGAATATAAAGAGCCTACATTATAATGCTAGACACACTATGTTTTCGTCATTTGTTAAATTTCTTTTTTACTAGGTGGTGCTACATAAATCAAATTCATGTACTAAATGGCGCTTCAAATTCATACATAGTGTTTTTTATTATAACTATTAATCAAATTCCAACTTGAATAAAAATTTTGATTGGTAGCACATCATTTGGTGTACTAATTTGGCGCAAAAAAACAATTTTGCACTCTTGCTAGTTTTATGTATTTTCTATAATTTTTCTGTACTTTTAAATGAGACAAATCTTCCTCTTATCCATAAGCTTGTAACCAAGGTTCTAAAAGACTCTAGGCGATAGTCAGACGGAAGGCTGAAGCCTAGAGCCTAGGCGGATTTAAGCAAATCTATTATATTTCGTATAAATAAGTGTTTGCATATACTTTAAATATATATAATTTCATCATAAACTACAAAATAGAATGACATATATATTATGAAGTGTTAGAACACAATGAAAACATAATGTGTGCTCATTTAAGTATGCAACAAGTCTCTTACAATTTATTGAAGAAAATAAAATGCAAAATGAAAGTTATCTATTTTTTGTTTAAGTGAGTCGCAACCTAGGCAGGTGCTTAGGTTGGTCTGGGCAAGTTAGGCAGGTGCTTAGGTGGTCTAGGCGGGCGCCTTAGCAGGTCTAGGCGCCATTTCTTAATTTTCAAACTGCCTAGGCATTAATTGGGTGGTGGCCAACTTCCTAGGGGCTAGGCGGCGCTAGGCAGGAATTTTTAGAACAGTGCTTGTAACAGAAAAATTGATAATATATGAAACATTTTCATCCAACCAAAATTTCAAACAACAAAAAACCCAATAGATGATATTAAACCCAATGGATGATATTACACGATCACCTTGGTTATTGTTTTAATTATTAAACAAAAATATATATGGTTACAAATCATAATACTTTTTGAATTTAGATTGTATATATCTGGATATTCAGATAATTAACGTAGGATTAATCAATAGCAGTAGTGCGGTTGGGAAATTGATATGATTAATTAGGAGGAAGGTGGAAGTTTCCCCTGAAGAAAAGATGAGATGAAGGTAAGTGATCGCTGCGGTTGATAGCTGGGAACCATATGACCTGCTCCTCTTATTGTGGTAAATGTCAATCCTTTGTACCCAGCCACATATCCTCCAACCTGCCAGCCCATTGCACCATAATTAAGGAAAATGTGTCTTCCCATCTTGCATTGACATGTATAATTAATGTACGGGGTTACGCTTTTGTACCATATCTACATGTTACAACACATGTTTTATCTGTTAATACTAAATATATTCTAAAATATAAACAAACTCATCATCTACCCATATTATAGATGTGGACTAATTGTTGACAGTGAATTTCATATTGATAAAAGGAGGGATCTTATATGAGCTTATAAGTAATTAGGTTACTTTTCATATGGTCAATTGTTTTTATGGTGATACCCAACTTTCTTCACGGCATCGGAGCAAGTTATTTTGCGTGTAAAACCCAATGGCCCACGTGCTCCACATTGTAAAGCAACATATTGTGTTGTAGCAATGTAGAATAACAATGGAGGTTTCAGAGAGAGAGAGAGAGAGAGAGAGAGAGAGAGAGAGAGAGAGAGAGAGAGAGAGAGAGAGGGAATGAATTTTTGTATATTTTCTTATTAGAGATACAATGCTTACATGAAATGTTATATATTCTTCTAACTAATAAGGCTTGCTTGCACACTATGTCACAACAATCTCAACAACCTTTAACTACCTTATAACAACCATACTAATCTATTGACACATGGCATCCTATCTAACCATTCATCTTATACTGTTATCATCCTCCCTCAATCTTAGGAGAAGGATCACGAAGCTTGAGATTGCAACAGTGAGTATGGAATAATGGTGCAAATAACCCTTTAGTCAGAATATCAGCAAATTGTTCATTGGAAAAGACAAACTACATTTGAATTAGTTGTTTGGCAACTCTTTCTCACACAAAATGCACATCAATCTCTATGTGCTTTTGTTCTTTGATGCATCATTGGATTGTAGGTAAGGGCAATAGCTGATAGATTGTCACAAAACATTATAGATGGAGTTGGGATTGAAATTTGCAAAAAGGCAAATAGCTGTCTTATCCAATCAATCTCAGCAGCTGTTGTAGCAATTGCTCTATACTCAGCTTCAGTAGATTAATGAGACATTGTGTTTTGTTTCCTTGAAGACCAAGATATTGGATTGTGTCCCATGAAAACAACCAATCAAACTGTGAATCTTTGACCATTGGGATTCCCAGCCTAGTCAGCATAACTGAATGCATTTAACTCCAGTGCTCCTTTAACATATTGAATGCCATAATTCAGCGTACCTTTATAAGGTATCTAAGTATCATTTTCACAGCCAAATAATGTGACTCCATAGGGCAATGCATGAACTGACACACCTGGTGCACAGAGTATGCAATGTTAAGTCTTGTAAATGTGATATACTACAAAGCTCCCACTATGCTTCTGTATAGCTTAGGATTGTTAAAGGGTACTCCATCATCCTTAAGAAGTCTGTTATAAGGTAAGTAAGGGGTAGCACAGAGCTTTGACTGATGCATTTCTATTTTTGTTGACAAATCATTGACATATTTATGCTGAGACAAAATCAATCCTTCTGCAGTCTGTGTAATTTGAATGCCAAAGAAGTAGTTTTGAGGTCCCAGATCCTTGATATCAAACTTTGTTGCTAATGCAGAAATAATTTCTTTTATGGCATCATTTGCACTCCCTGTGATGATTATATCATCCACTTAAAGTAGGAGAATCACCACCTCAAAACCAACATGTTTAACAAATAGTGATGTGTCTGCATAAGTGGTTTGAAAACCCAGAGAAGGCAAGAAATTTGTAAATCTCTCATTCCATGCCCTTGGAGCCTGTTTTAAACCATATAAGGACTTGTGAAGTTTACAAACTAAGGTAGAGTGTAAGGAATTCACAAAGCCATGAGGTTGTGCCACATACACCTCTTCTTGCAAGATTCCATGCAAAAATGCATTTTTTACATCGAGTTGTCTCACAGACCATCCAAAATGTGTAGCTAAAGGAAGAACAAGCCTTATTGTAGTAGGCTTAACCATAGGACTGAATGTTTTACCATAGTCTATACCTACCTCTTGATTGAATCCCTTTGCCACAAGTTTAGCCTTGTACCTTGAAATGGTTCCATCTGCATGTCTTTTGATCTTAAATACCCACTTACACCCCAAAAGGTTTCTACTTGATAGTAAAGGAACCGAAGACTAAGTGTTCTGAGAGTGTAAAGCTTGTATTTCCTCTTCCATAACAACAATGTTTTCACTTGTGATAGACATTGGTTTTAAATAAGCTTCAGAAATGGAACTTGTTGGAAGTACAAATAATTTTTGTGAAAAAGAAGGATATGGAAAATCACACTCATCAAATATGACATGTCTAGAAATGTAAATCCTCTATGAACTAACTTCAAGGCATATGTATCCGTGGTATTTAGATGCATATCTTAGAAAAATACATTTTTTGGTTTTTGGTTGTAACTTGTTACTGGTGGTATAAGGCTTCAATAATGGAAAGCATGCACAACCAAATATCCTGAGGTGTTGAACTTCTGGAATTGATTGAAATAAGACCTCAAATGGTGATTGATTATGTAAGGTTGATGATGGCATCCTATTAATAAGGTATATTGCAGTTTGACGTGCAAAAGACTAGAAAATGGCAGGTATAGACACATTTTGTAACACTGTGATTGAGGTTTCAACAATGTGTCTATGCTTTCTTTCTGCTAACCTATTAAGAAAGGTAATTTGCAAAATTTTCCTTGTAAACATGAGTGACACAGTGAAGGTGATACATCAGAGGGTACTGAAATATTAGACTTTCTAAGTGTAGTTGAAATAATAGAATTAGAGGGGTGACCTAGCCTGCTATGCCAGAAACTGGAAAGTCACTTGTTGTCCAAGAAATCAAACTTTGAATGCTTGATGCTGAATTATAGTTGGTCTTGATATTGGTATTAAATATCACCCATTACTACACTAGCCCTTTATAAACTCCTCTCTGTGGCTTTGTCCTGAATCCAGAAATTAAAAGCATCAAAGATTAACCAGCAATTATTATCTAGACAAATCCTATGTATAGATCACAAATTCTGAGTAATTCTTGGAACATATAGGACCAAATTAAGCTTTAAGGGTTGTATAGGTGTATGAATTAGAGAATATCCAATATGTGATATTGGTAGACATGCACCATTTGCAGTTTGAATTGTCTCTGTGGATGGGAAAGAAGTAGCCAAGGATAGATTTTGCAAATCAGCAGTGAAATGGTTTGTTGCTCATAAGTCTGTAAACCAGAATTGTTGAGAAGAAGCATTAGAGTTTAAAGGAGGTTGTGAGGAAGCCACATGCATTGTAGTTATTTGATGAGCATTTCCAAATACATTTGCATTTTTGAAGTGACAAAATTGAGCAGTATGGTTCTTCTTGCCACATATTTGACACCCTTCAAGTACTACTGACATTATCAGTATTTTTGAATCTGCATCTATCAACAAGATGTCCAAATTTTCCACAGATTTGATATGCTAAATGTGTTGGAGGTGCACCAAGAATGCCAAAAGCAGAATTATTATAGTTGTTTCTTGAATTTCCAAATCGAAAATTAGAATTTTACTTGGAATTATAGTTGAATTTGCCTCTACCCTTGTTCTTGTTATAGTTATTCTTGAAGTAGGTAGCCTGAGAGCCCCCATCATAAAAACCAGGAGATTGATTACTTGAATACCCTTTATTCGAATTGCCAGAAAACCCTTGGTTGTGATTACCAAAGTACTCTTGGGATGAAAGTGATGAGTTCTTGGAACTGGACTCAGAATTCTTGGCAACCTATTGCATAGAGAAATGGTGTAACAGTAGTGTTTTTAACCATTGCTTCTTCAGCAAGCAATTGGGATCTCAAATTTTTGATAGAGATAACACTTTCTCTACCTTTAGTGATAGACCTTATAATATTATACTCCCCTGGTAAGCCATTAAGTGTTAATATCGCAATATCATCAACTTCGAATAATACTCTGCAGCTGCTAAATATTTTCAAGCTTTCTTGATTCTCTGCAAATACTAGGATATTGAATCAGTGCCTTTCTTGATATTTTGCAACTCAAATTTCATTTGGAAAATAGTTGCATGAGTGACAATGGAAAACTGTTCTTTGAGCCGATTCCATAAATATTGAGAACTTGTGCTTCCAATAGCACATGACACAGCCGATGAAGATAGTGCAACAGTAATGAGTTGCATCAAGGCATGATCATACATTTTCCAAATCTTGTAGGCATTGGTTTCGGTTCTTGATGATGAATCCCCATAATCTACTTCAAATTCCCCTAAACTAGATGAAACAAATCTTTCAAGACAAGGGTTAGACCCATCTAAGAACTCCATAATTCCATGGCTTTCGAGTAGCAACTAAATATGAAAAATCCAAGTAAGATAGTTGGAATCATCGAGCTTGACAGTCATAGACGTAGAAATAGTAGAGATAAGAGATGTGATGGGTGATTGCACGATTTGTAATTGATTGGCAGTCACCAGTGTAACCTTTAGTTGAAGAATTGTGAATGAGATATGATCAAACACCTGGAGTGCACGACCTAGACAAAGAAAGAACTCAGAAACTTTAGTTTCAAGATCAAGAAGTAGAGAAGAAGATCTTGAATGGCGGAAGCAAGAAATTCAAGATCGAAGTAACCTTTCAAGCAAGAAGAGCTTGACAGGTGAAAGATACCATATAAAGCAACATATTGTGTTGCAGTAATGCAGTAACAATGGAGGTTTCAGAGAGAGAGAAATGTAGAAAGAGAGAGGAATGAATTCTTGTATACTTTCTTATTAGAGATACAAAGCTTACATGAATTGTTATATATTCTTCTAACTAATAAGGCTTGCTTGCACACTATGTCACAACAATCTCAACAACCTTTAACTACCTTATAACAACCATACTAATCTATTGACACATGGCATCCTATCTAACCATTCATCTTATACTGTTATCACATGTCACCCCGTTTATGTTGTTTACGTGTTTAGCTTGAAAATTTCTCACACATGAGGGGGTGTGTTGAGAATGAATCTCACATTAATGGGAAGAGGGACGTTGCATGAGCTTAAAAGTAAGTTGGATTACTCCCCACATATTGTCATTTAGTTGTACGGTGAAACTTCAACTTTCTTCACTAATACCATCCACCTCCCAATTACTTATTTATTTCCGAATGATTGTGGTAAAATGTAGTCACAAAGATGTGGACGTTAAGTACCTGTCCATTTGAATACCAGGCTCGCCATGGAGTTTGTAGGGGCAATTTGAAAGTGTTTATGGCGTATCTAGAAGATGTGACTGGTACTCTCCCATCAATATCTCCACTGCAGATTGCATTTAACATGAAATCTCAGCTGCTATATATAGATTAGTAAAATGTAATTGCAGTACATATGCATATGTTTATATCTATGTAACATGCTGATATAATTAATTATACTTAATCAATTGTTTAATGAAAATTAATCTTCTGAAGAGGAAGGGGAACATTGGGATCACTACACTATCTTACATCAATTCAAGGGTTTCACCTGTATATCCATAAACTTATCCCGCTTGCTATAAGCTGCTTTATGGTGGGTAGAATGGTGGTTGGGCTGTCTGTCCATCCAACTCCACTAGAGGCAACGATTAAAAATGAGAGTTAGTTATATAAAACACGTTTCTCTCGTAAAACCGTCTAACAATATCGTTAACAACAAACAAAAAAAAAAAATATATATATATATATATATATATATATATAAAATAACGGTCTAACAATATAACATAATTTATTAGTGGCAATGCAACTCAGGGCCGAGGTATTCCCTAGCCCCCAACCCCTACGTGCTCCCTTCAATTTTTTTTTTAATTACCAATTTATGAAGCATTTTAGCAAATTAAGCATCATCACTAAAGTCATCCTGCACTCTTTTAAGTACATATATGCAGAATGACATTTTTAGGGTGTCAGTAACACCTAAAAACGACTCTTGGTATAGTGCATAATTCATGTACAATTAAGCAATAAAGAAAGTTTGTCCGAAAGCATATCATATACCCGCAAGCTGACCACTCTGTAGGTTTTGCATGAAGAGCCGCTTGAACCTCCTTAAGATTTAGATAGGTTTTCACATAATTGTCAGAGCATGGATCAAAATCATCAATCTGTATCAGGATATATAACATACCATCCCAATTAATCATTATTTGAAGGTTTAATTCAGTCAAATGCACATTATTCCTTTCATATTAAGCTCTAGCTACAGATAGACTTACAGAAGATTTTGAGAGAGATTTAGTGGGTTCTGATGTTTTGCAAGGGGGAGCATAAATGTTGTAAATATCAACATTTCCAAGCTCCTCCTCAACTTGACTTCGATATTTGTCACATGCGCTGGAGAAATTGCCCGAAGAAAAATCACAATATTTGTGTATCCCTGCATTCGTCTCGTCGGAATTCATAGAATGTGTCCACACATAATCGTAAATCCCCAGTTCACCAGTACTATCATCAATCCAAGCATTTCCGATCTGTATGAATAATACGTGAAATTTTTTAGTGTGACGATCACATCGGCACATGGTACTGATAATAATTTGCGTTATGACATGGATGAACAATGAAATTGATATTTCATAGGTTATGATATGATATTAAACATATACACTTTTCATAACCTGAATGGATTAGTAACACACGTGGTGATTTGGCAGACAAACATTACTTAAACAACAAGATATTATTATATAAACTCTACGTAGAATTAATGAATAATTACTCACTGCAATTCCTTTGAGATTGATTTTTGTTTGCTTCGTGACTTTGTTGTTTAAGAGAATGGTGGAGGCAAGTTGAGGTACGTAATGACCGGCGTAGCTCTCTCCGGTGATGAAGAAGTCTCTGGTTTTATATTGGGGAAATCTCTCCAGCCAGTTTACAAGAAATTTATAGGAGTCCTCTGCTGTTCTCTTGTCACCCACGTCTCCAGTAGTCGGATGTTGTGTATGAATATGAGAACCCAACTCCTGCTGGTGACTCCAAGAAGATCACGTTTGCCACTGCCACACATTTTTATGGTGCTTATTATTATAATGAGTCTAAAGTTAGCGTGTTGCTTCAATACTACAGGTATTTTAAACGTTGTTTGATTTCTACAATTGTTAAATTTTCTATTTTCAATCTCAGCTTCTCATTTTTTGTACCAGTATTACGTCCTATTAAAAAATTTTTTTGCTAAAGTTGACAGAATTTTTGTAACTATTTGGGGAGAGAAAGGACATGTAGTGCTCATTATTTAGTTGCTTGATTAATTAGTAATTACCGTTGTTCCAAGCATAGTCATTTCTGAATAGTGTCTTTCTATCATTATTGACTCTGAAGGGTCCAATTTCTTCCATGGCTCCATATCCCAAAGATGAGCATCCTGGTCCTGCATGTACACAACAGAAATCATGCACACGAATATTGGAGGTGCGTGGCATCGGTGTAGTATGAAACTGTTGGCTGATATTAAATGACAAGTTAGCATTGAGGTCGTGCATCATCAAAGGAAATGTTAAATTTTAAGTGGATTGTCTTGTAATAAAATTTGGTAAATAGAGGCTTCAATCGATATGTCAACTCTATGTGGATTAACATAAATATTGTATGTGTGAAATATGAGATATGGCCATGTCAGCATTGAGTTTTTTTTTTTCTTTTTCTTTTTTGAGAAAAAGCATTGAGTTCTTAGAAGATGGTGTATCTGGCTGCTGGTTATAGTGACTACTTGGAGCTAAGGCAAGTTTGTTAGCTCTGATTTTTAAGCCATCTAAGCGCTGTGAACAGTTGGAGGCGGCAGTGTTGTAGCATGAAATTCGTTTTAGTATGACATGCAAGGTTTCTTCTTTCCTCAGTATGGTTTTCATAGCATGTAGAATTTGCAGTGTCAAATAATGTATAATTGGAGCAACTTTTGGCTCTGCTAGCTTGTTATCATACCACGTACATAAAATTAATCAAGGAATAACTTAAACTTCAGTCACAATCCAAACAATTTCCAAATTTTGGGATTTGTGTCATGTAATGGGAGTTAACCACTAGTTCATGATTAAACAGTAATTATACTTCATAACTTCATACTAAATTAGCCCGTCCCAAGTAGTTGTGGCAAGAACAATGTGAATTGCCAAAAGTACTTTCGTGCGTGTCTTGCATGTGTTTTCCTTTCACGAAGAAAGGAAATGGTATGCCCACTACAAAGTGGGAATGAGAATATACAACACATTACATGGCTCAAAATCATTCAAACAACTGGGTAACAGTTATTTTCATACCAATAGAGTCTTCTAGCATAGTGGCATGGAAATAAAGTATCTTCATTTGGTGGTGGACCTTAACTCTTTTCAGTTTTCATCGAGTAAACTATTTAATGGTGCTCTAGAATATCGAATATATCAGAGTTTTTAACTGTTAGATTTTAATTTTATACTTTTAATCAAAGATCTAAAGATTAAAAAGTTTGAAATATCCGATACTCCAAAGTATCATAAAAAAGATAATATCCTCATGATTTCCTCAAGAATTATACCACTCAATACGTGTTACATTTATATGTATTGGAAAACACACTACATGCATACAGGGACAGTTGGTGTTCAAGAGCACAAGATTAGTGGAAATTCTTGCAAGCTAGTGTTGTCCACCTAGCTAGCTACTTGGCTGGCCAGGAAATACATGGGATGTAAACCCCATATGCATATCATTCTTTTTGACTTTAAGCACTAGTTGTATATATCGTGGTTGCTTACATCAAATTTTATGATGATATATAGCTAAACAACAAACCGACCGATATCGTCTTAAGTCCATTATTATAGTGGTTCTAGCTGTTTCGAGTGTTCTTTTCCCTTAAAATAAGACTGCTGTCACAAATGATGATGTTATCATGTTATCCATGGATTTGTTGTTTTCTTATTCAAATTAACTAAAACTTACTCCGAGTGGTTATATACATTTTGACCAAAAAACAAAAAGAGTGGGTCTATAGTTTGTTACGAATAAATGTTTAAATAAATTTTTCATGTATAGCCTAATAATATATTCGCTGAAGCTGGCATATACCTATAGTTTTCACCGTGATTTCAGATATGTGACATATAGGTCGTTCCTAGCTTTTTTTTACTGGAATGATGTCCTACAAGTTACAAGTGCCATAGAAACTGATAGAATATGTTAATACATACATCTTTTCTTAGACGTCAGCCGGATATGTTTAAGTTGTAGACTCATGTCACTTTAAATTAAGAAGGTAAGAAACTTAATGACAAACTTTATAAGCACAAGCATAATCCACCACCAACATCACTGATATATTTTAGCTTAACCACCTATTACAAGGTGTTGAGTTTTATTACAAAAAATGTCAATGATATTAGAGGTGGAAACTCCCACATATTAATTGCATATTAAATATCGTATGACTGATGTGAAATCATATTCTCTAACACTTCAAGAATAGAATAATTGTATAGTAAAACTTCTAAGCAATATTTACCTCCATTTAACCATAGCAACAAAGGTTTAGTTGATGAATCCTGGGGCGACTCTACAAAGTAGTAGAACAATGCTCTCCCGGCTTTCTGGTCTACAGTAACATACCCTGCATATTGGTCAAAGTTTACGCCTTGAGGTTGTCCTGGCAAAGAACCAATCTTATCAGCTTCCTTCAACCCATCTTGGAGTCCAACATAAACTGGTGAAAATTGGTCATCGGCAACATTTGAGCCATCCCATAAGTCTGCCCGAGGAGGATTCGCAGATTTGCGAGACTTAATCAACTTGTTGAGGTTGTCGATTTGGTTGGCGTTGCATGATATGATGAGAAAGGTTAACTGGTAGCTGGAGAGGAGAAGCAAACATGTCAGTAGTGAAAGATTCATGATCTCCAGTAATTTTGTTGCTTGAATATGCTGGTGGACTAGTAGCATCAAACGCTAGCTTTTAGTATTTATAGGAATAAAGTCAACAACTGAAAGTTTGGGAGGAGAATACTAAGGCCTTAGCTTTGGGGCAACGTACAGCATATATACCATGACCTGTGGCCATCCACATCCTATCATTGTCAAAAGATTCAAGAAAGCTTTTTCTTCGGACATATATATGCGGATCGAAACCATATGCATCTAGCTTAGAATTAGAGAAAAAAGGATGTTTAAGAGTCTGGACTTACAAATTTTACTTTCTCTTTCATGTGGGTTGGTATTTGTTTGGTCACTTTGTGCACTACATATGTTCATCTGTCACTTGCCCAATGATAATATTTCAGAGTTGTATCTTAATTACGTCTCTTATAAATAGTTTTAGGCAACTATCTTCTTATCAAAAATATGTTTGTATTTTGATTATTATAAAATTCTGACTTCGCCATAGTATTACTAATTTATATATTATAAGATAAATGGTTTTAATTTGTTATATCATGTATCGGTACTACGCACCCTCTCACCTCGAAAATCACTCGCTAGTTAGATTCTTATTTGTTTGTGCTAAATGAGAACACAGTTGTTCATTCATTTTTAATTCATATTAATTAACATGCCACATCTAAAGATTCTAAGCTACGATTTTCGTGTCCAATTATTAAAATTTCCTAGAACAAGGGTACTTGTGCTTTGAATGCCGCAGATTTCAGTCCCTTGATTGGATAATTAGTTTAGCAAGTTTGGATATTTCTATTAATTAAAACTGACAATATAAGGATAAATTTTTAGTGTGGCCGTTACATAGTCATTTGGTTCTATTATCTTATGTGTTGTAATATAGATGAGCGACAAGGTTTATATGTCATCATTCTAAGATTATAATATTAATGTTGAGGCCCAATCAAGTCTTAGAGCCCAATTGTTATACAAGTCTCAAGTCGAGCTCAAGTACATGCAAAAGTGCAGAATCGAGAAGGAGTTATGTTCATAATTATGCCATGCTACGTTAATCAAGCCACACATTCGTGTAAATCAAACCACGCTTGCGCAAACTCATGCATATTCGTCACGCCAAGCTTTATCATGTTAATCACTATTCATACTAAGATAGGCCCCAAGTCATGCCCAGGGCTTGTCAAGTGAATTGTGGTGTGCATGGTCACCAAAGTTCATTAGGCAGTCAAGATTGTGGAAGATTTTGGGTTGTTTGGGAGCCTAAAAATTCAAGCCAATAACCTCTTTATTCCACGTAGTTAAGTTTGAGAGAGAACTAGCGTAGTTTCCTTATTTCCCTAGCAACCTGACCAACTTAGTTAGGAATGAACCAAATCCTAAGCCTTAAAGTCACATGAAAGCCCAGCAGGGCATGCATTTAATGAAGAGAGATGCTGACTTTCCTTTCCTAGCTCATGCAGAAGATCAAAGCCTGAAAGCTAAAAGACGCGTTACTTATAGTAACGCCTATGGAAGACTGACTCGGGAATGCCGCGCCTTGGGAAGAATGAGTGATGCAGGTTTCACGAGGTAGTACTTTGCACCAAAACTAAAGTGGCAGAAGAACTAGGGAGAAAAGGGAGAAAAGGCCAAGCAACAATTAGAGATTTTGTAGGAACCCTAGAAAGGAATCATTCACCTACAAAAGAGGTATCATAAGCCATTAGAGAACATAACATAGGAAGAAGAATTCAAACATTAGGGAGAGAAACACATAACCATCTTTCTGCAACTCAGAGTATTCCCCTAGACTTCCTTCAACCCTTTCAGTCAGGGAAAGAGCCTTTAGAACCCAGAAAGCTCAGATTATCCAACCTAGAACACCATGCAACCATGCCAACTTTTTTCTCTCTCATGCCAAACTGATGAACCTCTAGCTTCCACATCATGAATCATTTGAGCAAGCCATTATTTGCTTAATCATCCTATATTCGAGTCAAATGATCCAACTGTGTATTTCCTAAGACGTGCTAATTCTTCCGAGATATTCTGGGACTTGGTACGAATCCGAACCAAGGGAGACAAGAGGATGTTCTCAAAGCCCAAAGTCCATCTTGGCCTAAAAGTCCCCCAACAATTAATAAATATATCAAAATGTTATAATATGACTATATTAATAATATCTTATGACGGTATGACAATCACATTGAAAAAGTTGTTTAATATACAACAGAAAAAAAAATAAAAAGGAATCAAAGAAAAAAAAATAAATCAAAGAAGAACCAAATGAAAAATAAATAAATAATGATATACAATGTAAAAAATAGTGTACGAATTGAAAATCATTACCTTCTATTTCACGTAGATACATAATTTAACATATTGCTCTTCTCTTCAACCCCTCTTCTAATTGTTTTTTGACTTTCAATATGATTCAATAATAAAAATATAGAACACAATCAACTTCATATTATGGAGTAAAAGTACGAAGCTAGCTTGTATTATGTTCTAAATGAAAGACACAAGAAACTGCCATGTATTCATAAAGCATATGAAACCTTGAGCTCCGGAAAAGTAAATATTAATATCACTAAATTCTAAATCTGTTGTAGACCTATTTTACTGAAGGATTATAGAGAGAGGGGGTGACATGCCCAACCCTGATATTCTCCCAAACACCAAGGTAGACACGTGCTGGCCGACATCCGAAGGTGATGAAGTCATATTATAATGCATGAGAATGAGAAATAAATAAGACTTATTAATTTAAATATAATTAATATGCAAATGAGGAACGTGTTCAGAGTATACCACTAATTCTATACACTAGAAAAGAAATGATATAAAATTGAATGAACAAAGGAATGGGTCCTACACCGAGAGGACTCGAAGATGCCGATGTGGAAGCGCCTTGACGCCGAGATTGTACGCCTCGATTCTAAGTCTTGAGGGGGCGCAAAACAAAACATGAGTGGACCAAGTTGATATATATATATATATATAATACTGAAACAGTTATCAACATACTAACCCTCAAAGTTTTATAAAAACATCTATAGTATAATAGGTAGTCGGTTTTCCGAAAACCCTAGCATGCCATAAAACCTTTCATGAAACATATCTCGTATATAGTGTGCTAACTAGTGGTATCAGTATCATTATCAGTATCTCTCGGCCTGAAGCCATTAACTTATACCTTATGCCAACCATATATGTCCTTCAGCCTTATTTCTCCCTCGCCCGTATGCAGAATAGTGACCACTAGATACGAACAAAATCATTGGACATAATCTTTCCAAGCATAGCTAGGTACATATATCTCAAAAACATCTTCATAGTACAAAGTCATCCATCATCTATACTATAAAGAAGTCTAAAAACATGTTCTAAATAGTATATCGTCATCCATCAGATATCCTACGAAGAACATTGGTTCGATAGAAATTATGGTATTCCAAAATATTCTATGTAAGCATGATAATCATATAAGGTAAATCCAATTTACTCATAAAACGTTATCTAAAATATGATCATTAAATCATGCTTTTCATATATGTATTTCTACTATTAAAACATTCATTTTAGAAGGGGTCAACTCATAAATGCTTCGTCGTCTAAGAACCACGCAAACTAGCGAATACGGAAACGCCACAATAATTGCACCTAAGCACATAAAAGGTCCAATTAGTAAAACTCTACTCAAATGATTGAATTTGGGAAAATGGATATCGAAAACGGATCTAGGACGTCAAAATTAGACTAGGAAGGGTCTCGGACAAAACCCAAAAAAGTCAACGTTGACTGTTGACCCGTCAAAGTCAACGGTCAGACCGGGTTAAAAGGCCTAGGTCAAATAGGTCATTGGGTTAGGCCAAGTCAATGGGCCACTAGGATGGGCCGAAGGGTTTTGGGTTTGGGCTTGGTAGCCCGGCTCAAAAGGTTATGGGTTTAGGGTTACTAGGGTTTAGGCTTGGGCTTCATATTACATAGGCCCAAGATTTTGGGCTGGGTTTAGAGTTGCGCTAGGACTAGTGGGCCTAACCTGGCCCAAGACTCGATTTGGACTCACATGTTGCACTCGTCGGAGCCAACAGTAGAAGAAAGCCCGAACATGGGAAAATCTTCCCAAGCTCTGATTGGGTTCAAAACTGAACCATTTTCGTCGCACAAATGTTCAAATTGAAGCTCGTGAGATATCGAATCGAGTTATACCTTTCTCGTGGCCAACCGTGGTTGTATCTCGCCAGAATATGCTAGCAAAAGTAAGTTCACTTGCCGAAAATTTGAAAAACACTTTCCCGAGTTGTTTTTATATTAATTCCTAATCAAATCACACAAATAACTCGAAGCTCAACTCAAGACATCAACAAGATACAAGATCAAAGGAAATCCCAAGTCTTACCATGGTCGATGTTATTGAGGGTTTGTTAAAAAAGGTAAATGTCCAATGGTAGAGTAAGGGAGAAGCTTAGGGGAAGGTTCCTTCTTTGATCACACATTCATGGTTCTTGTATGGGTTTAGTGAAGGTGGTGGTGAGTGGTTGATTGGGTTTGTGTGGCTCGAAGAGAGTGGGAGTAAGAGGTCTGAGAAAAAGGGCTTAGGGGGTTTGAGAGAAAAAGAGGAAGTGGGCTGCGAGAGAGAGAGAGAGAGAGAGAGAGAGAGAGAGAGAGAGAGAGAAGAAGGAGAGACTACCACATGGCAATGTAAGAAGGGAAAAGGCCGGGGGGACAAGCTTAAAGGTGGGCCCCTCTTGGGCACACTAATTAAGGCCAAAAAGCCATATTTTAAACAAATAAAACCCGACTAAAGTGAAAATATGAAAATACCTTTCTATTCCGTAAATTCCGGGGCGGGTTGTTACAATTTACCCCCGTTAAATAAAATTTTGTCCTGAAATTTGAAATAACTAGTTACACTGAAAAACTTGAAAATAGGAAGAAAAAAAATATATATATATATAAAGAAGAAATCGAGTCAAAATGGTTGCACAAAAGGGAAAATGCCGCCCCATCGCGATTGGGTTGCAATGATTCCATCTTTCGTGCCTTCAAGCTCAAACATTCTTTCCCCATCAGTGTAAAAGTAGAAATGTACTTTATAAAAATATAAAGTCAAAAACATATAATAGTGTAAGGTCAAAAATATGTATGTATAATACGATACATCAAAATAGATATGTACTAACATATAAGTCGAAAACTCGTATTG